TTGTTTCGGCACTGATTGGTAAGGATGATAAATTAACAACTTTCTTCCTATCCCCGTGCTGGTCAGTAATGGATTACGTCTGTTTATTGAAGTTGTTTGACCTTGTTTTCGAAACTTGGTCATTTTGGTAGGAAGACTTAGAGGAACGCACCTGGTCCGGAGTCCATTGTATACATGATCATTTCCAGAGTAGGACCGTGGACGTGGTACATTCCCAAACGTTTCGCCAGCATCGTAGTCGGCATCGTCCGTGAGTATCACCATTTTTAGCACCATACAACAACTCATCAAAGAGACAAGTAAGCCTATCATTTGATTAAACGTGTGCTAAACAGTTGTGGTATCTCCCGTTCTGCCCCGGGCTTATGTCTATGAAGATTATTCTTTAATGAATGTCAGAGGAGAGCTAGTAGCAAGGGTAAATGTTATATGATATCCCTAAATGCTACCAACCCTAGTTTTTCCTTCATTCCAATTCGAACGGACTCGCTTTCCTGCCCTAGGCGAATTGATATTTTTAAGGTTAGAACTTTATTACAACAAGTTTTGGAGAATTAAATAACATAATACATACCAGTTGGTGGCTTGTTAATGACAGTTTTGGGACGGAAACATGTGAAAGTGGTTAAGGTTCGACACACAATATAATTCGCTAACAGTGATTAGGCTGAAAGAAAGTTTCAAAATATTTGCGTGATACACAGATTAATTTTCATTTACTATTCAGCGTGATTACTAGAGTAGTTGCTGGGACAAGTTGGGGATTCAATAATTACGCTATCATATTGGTCCATGTTTGATTTCACATATATTTATAAATTATCATTATAGTTATGTGAAATTTATAAATTAAACGACAAAGAGCATAATTCTTACCATTCTTGTATTGTAAGAGATGCCTTAACTTTGGCCAAGGATTTATGTGAGATTTACTCGCTTAGCAAGCATGAGAAATGTATCATGTTTCATCTCTTTTTGCTTCCGTTAATAACAATGATTAACGTTTAGCGATAGAAAGAATAACAAACATGAGCAACAGCACTTTCTACAAATATTATGTCTTCTCCGACATAACTGCCTACGCAATCCAATAAGATCTCCCGGACGGTTTTGTCATTCACTCATCTATGATATCCTCTTTTTCCAGGGCTTATTATTTGCATGTTCTTTTCTTTTCCTCAGTTGGCCAACTCGCGTTTTAGCAATCACTGGCAGGACCAGCACCACAGCAGCCTTATAAATGCCGATAGGGAAGCCAACTCTTCTTGTGATGGTATAAGAAGCAAACGTTCTAATGAACGTCCAGGTTTCAGAAATCTGGTGACAGTGATCGGTTTTGGTTTGAATTATTGCTTGGCTGGAGGACTTAATCTTCCCAAAATACTCACTTGCCTTGGATCTGATGGCCGGATACGCCGACAGGTCATCAAGGGCCGCGATGATCCTCGACAAGACGCGGTCATGCAGCAGGTCAGAAATTGGCTCATTGGTTCTTTTGAATAAACTATTCTGTTAAGTGCAGCTTTCGGAAAGTCCTTTTACGAGCGTATATCTTTCTCCGACTTCAGAATTAACTGAGGCCT